GAATTCGCTCTAGAGATCCCAGGAATCCCAACAGTTTTTACGTTCGTTCCTCTTGATCATATCATGCATTCATCCAACGCGTATTTCGAAAAAAAAATGAAAGGAAAGAAAAGCAAAAAAAAAAGCTCGAAAAAGAACGATAGATAGCGAATGCATTTGATATTGATCTTTGGAATCCCGATTTTCCATCACCATATTCAGACCTACTCCAAACCCAGGTGGACCGAATTATTCCTGTAGACAGCGATAAATAGGTTTGAGAAACGTGTTCGGTAGATAACTTGAAATCCCCTTTGAAGTTTTGGGAAATGAAGTTCGTCGTGTAGCTCTATGATCATTTTGTTGGAATGGAGATCTGAATAAGATAAGCTTGATTTCATTCAAGGTTAGTCGATACAGGAGAGAAATTTCACTTTTGAAACTCATGGAGATTTCTGATTGATCACCTACTTGCTTCCCCCGCATGCGTTTTTCCGTCGTATATTTGCTCGAGACGAGCAAAAGTATAAGTCTGGGGGAGTTTGGTAACACGATTTTCTCATCTATTTCAAAGCCCATTGTGTAGCACTTTCGCATCGGTTGTGTGCATTATTAGACATTTAGGATCATTTTAGCACTGGGTTTTGTTTCTTCTGCAATCTCTGGTGATTGAACAGGTAATGGACGCATTATGGACGTCAGAGGAACATAATCGAGGACTTCGGAGCATATTGAACCGGAACAGAACGATTAAGACATTTCCAGCTCGAGTTGCACTTGAACACGGCCATGTCGAGTTTAAACACGGCCGTGCAAAGGCAAGGAAACGAAGATATTCTTACAACAATTGACACGGACCGCGTGTCGAGTCAAACACGGCTGTGTCGAGACGCAACTCGCCCGTGTCCAGCCTTTGCAGAAGCGCATAGTTTTGATCAGACAATTGACACGAACCGTGTTCTACCCCAAAACGGTCGTGTTACGTTTCGAGAAAACTTCCTATTTTGCATCCGAACTTCCGTTTTCAGAATGGAAAGAAGCTAGCCGCCAAAGAAATAAAGAAATAAGTGATCGAGAGATCACAGCAGAAGCTAGAGAACTCGAGAGAGAATCAAGACGGAGTTTTCCAGAAGCAGAGATTGAAGAACCGTCGTCGAGAGATCGCTGCGAGTTTCTTCTCTATCTGTTTTCTATGTTTCTCTTTATTGATTTGAACTCGTTTGTTGTTATGGGTAGTGAGTAGTCGCTTCACTGTAGCTAGGGGTTTAACCTTGTAGGGATTTGTTTGGTTTTTATTTTCCGAGACTACGTTATCGATACTCGGCGGTTTAATTGAATTGAGTTTATTGCTTTTGATCTTCTTGGCTTGTTGATTGATTGATCTTAGATTCTGATTTACAACGAGAGTTAGAATTAGATTCGGAAAGAATTCATTGAATAAATTGATTAAGACTATTGAGAGATAGGTTAATCGGTTTAGGAACTGTGATAGTGATTGTTAATGCGTTTGATATTTTAATCTATTAGGTTGAGAGATCGATAAGTTAAATTATTGGACAGTGGATTTAGGACTTGAGAGAGTCAAATCTGATATTAGAACTTGAGATCCCCGATTAGAGTTCGATATTCGTAGATTCTCCATCCTTAGAGACAATCCCTGCGCGTTAAGGTTATCCCGAAGCTACGGTGGTTTAATTATCTGATTTTACTTAGTTTATTTATTGCTTTATTTTCGGTATTCATCTATTCCATCTGCTATTTCCTGATCTGATTCTTAGTCGAGTCTTGTTCTTAGTGTTAACTATTCCCTATGTTCGACCCTGGTACTACAGTTGATCTGTATCCTTGCGGTATTCGCTGTATCTAGGTTTTTTATTACTTGAGCTTATTTATACACCTAGATTTGCGTTATCAAACACGTACACTGATATGAGAGGACTTTCTCCTACGATCAGTGACCTGCTCTGATACCAATTGAAAAAGTTGAACCCTCAAAGAGTAATGCGGAAAACCAATCAGTTCTATTCACTTGAGAAATATAGTCAAGTACAACTCACTTTTTGTTGTAAGAATCGTACTTACTACACACCCGAAACTCCCCCTGAGTTTCTTTCCCTCTCACAATGAATTCTACTGATTAAAAAACCTCACAACATAGATCACTCACCAGAGAAAAGAGATTTGCCCAATCGGTCTCCCTCCCAGACGCTCACTCACCAAATAATGAGAACACACTCACTTAACAGAATAGACTAAAAAATTATGATCATGCTCTCTGTAGAGTTGATATGTACTTGACTCTCTATTTAAACTCTTCTGGTTCGTCTTCAGATTTCCACGAAATGATTGAATCGACTTCTCCTTGATTCTTGTTGATTTCGATTCTATCTTCAAGATTTCATCTTATTTCTTGTCTTTGACTCTATCTCTTCAGCCTTTGACTCTATCTCTTCAATCTTTGACTTTATCTGAATCTCGTCCGTTGCACCTCAGATTTGCTCGAGTGCTATCTCGCCGGATTCTTCTCGTGAAATCTCTCATAAGTTGTTGAACTTGCAACAACATTTTAACAACCAAAATAACATGTGCAAATAATTGCACTAACATATGTAAGTATATATATATATACACGTATATATAGTATGCATATGTGTATGTATATATATGTATATTATGCATATATATTAATAAATAAATATATATATATATATATATGAATAATATATGTAAAGCGTATGCATATATAATATGTATTTATATTAGTATATATATGTGGATATATATGTGTGTACAATATACGCATATTTATATATATATTATAAATATATGTATAATATATAAATATATATATATATACGTACAGATTAATATATGTATAAACTATACAAATATATGCTTGTGTAAACCTATATAAATATATGTATATATAGCATGTGTGTATATATATAATATGCCTACATATTAATATATATACTATATTGTGTATAATATGTATATATAATATAGTATGAATGTGATAATGCGTTCGATTTGTGTGCTTGTCTTGTTCTGCCGATTGTGCGATCATCAGCGACGATCGTGCGATCAAATTAAAAAAAGCATGCACACTACACAACCGTGCCAGCCACCCACCTGTCATGAAGCGACGATTATCCCCAATGATGTCGTAATCGTCCGACACGCTTTCCTTGATTTACGCTACTCGCGCGACAATGAAACGGACAAGCACTTCACCGATTTCTTTATTTAAGCAGATGTAGAGAGAAATATTTGGGACAGACACGGAGATACAAAGAGATTAGAGAAAGTCGGAGAGCAAGAGCCGAAGAGGAGGAAGCTGCCGCATACATCTCTGAGCATCTCTTCCCTTAATTTTATGTGTTGCCGTTTAATTCTTGTTGTTATTTACCGCTATGTGTGAGTAGTTTTTCTGATTGTAGGTTAGGGTTGCGGTGTGTAAGGATTATGTGTTTATAAATTATTTTTGCAATTATGGATTTGATAATTTGGTTTAAATGAATAATGTTTAATGCTTTAAATCTTGTCGGCCATCTTATTTATTGATTCCAGAATTTAATTTGCATAAGAATATAAAATTAAATTCAGAAAATATTCATTCGAATAGATGGTTCTCGCATCGGAAGATGGTTATACTATTTAGAAATTGTGATAGCAAATTTAATGCTCTAAGAAGTTTTTAATCTGTTTGGAATCGAGAGATCGGTAGATTAAACTTCTAGGAAGTGAGGTGAGACTCGGAAGAGTAATCCTCTACGATAAGAACTTGAGTTTCCCGATTAAAAACCCTAGATTGTCGAATCATATTTGTAGACACGATCTTTACACATCCCGTAAATCTCGAAACCTACAATGTTTTAATTAAATTGTGTTAAAAACATTATTTGTGTCTTCTTTAATTTGTATTTACATTTAATCATCATCATCACCACTCAAAATTTTTGCCCGATTGAAACCGAATAGAACCTGTAATTGTATCATTAATGTCCACATGTCCCTGTGTTCAATCCTAGAGTACTACAATTGACCTGTGCACTTGCGGTTGTTGTATCTAGGAAATAAAATGAGATAGATCACTCCCTAAATCGACATCGTATATTTAGGCAAATTTCCAACATCTTAGAAATGGATGTGGTATATGATGCAATGATCCATGTCATAAACCACTTCATTATGGTTGGTCAACGTTAGTCAACCTCTTAATTGACAACATTTTTCAAAGTCAATTATTGTCATGACAATTTTTTTTTAAAAAAATTAGCTTTTATATTAGTATAGAAGTTGAGAAATAAGTTTTTCAACATTAGACCAATTCTTTAATTTTTATGGAATTAACTCAAACATATATTTGTGAAATTTTCTCGTAACTATAACTTATATGAAAAGAAAAGGAGATGAAAAGAAAAAAAAATTAAAATCAATGAAATTTAAATTTAAAAGTCGACTCATTACATCATTACTATTTGCAAATAGAGCGGTTATACACTACAGAAAAATAGTCATTTCCAATGGACAAATCCGTTGGAAATTAATGTTTCTAACGGATAAATTCGTTGGAATTATATCGTTAGAAATCGGTGTGCGTTTTCCAACGGATTTTCAACCGCAATTCCAACGGAATTTCCAACCGAAATCTGTTAGAATATTTCAAAAAAAATTCAAAACATATTCCTGATTCCGACCCCGACCCTGACCCCGACTCTATATCGAATCCAAAACTCTGAAATTTAATCCCCGAAATCGCTTCTCAATAGATCACTCATCCTCCCACACTACTAGAGCTCAATCCTCCTTAACCCTAGGGTTCCAATTGACAATCATCTAACTGCTCCAAATTAAACTTCTGATATCATATAACATTAATATATATAAATATATAAATATTTATATCTATAAATATTTATATATATACATACACGCATACACATATACGTATATTGTAACATTCCATAATTGAAAAAAAAAACAAATAATAAAGTGGGGAACATCAGTCCCTAAATTGCTCACCTGCTCCACGCCCCCTCATGTTCTCTCTCACTCTTTTCGTTCCATATCAGACACTCCTCTTCCAAGTTGATTGCTCCCTTCGTGCAGCAGAAATTCTTCCACCGTAACTTCCCTGCAAATCTTTACCTTCACTCAATCTTCTATCTATCTTGGTTTGCGAGTAAGTTTTCTTAATCCTTATTAATTTTCATTCTTATGTAACTTATACCTATGCATTTCAACCATGAATTAACTTTCTGAATCTCTTTTAGCTAAAACTCCGATTTAAAATTGAATACGAACAAAAACAAATAATCATCACCTAAGTTTTCAACGATCATCACGGAAGCACAGAAAAATATAGGTAAGTAAATCGAATTCAATTCGAAAATTCAATTTTCATTGATTCTTGGGATTTCAACATGTTTGTATTAAATTAAAGTTTGATTTATATTATTGAATAAATTTTTACGAATTTTAGATTTTAATCCATTGAATTTTGATATATTTGAGTGTTATTATAAAATCACTAGATTCAGATCGGATCGAACTATTTTGGTCCGGACCGAATTAAATTATAAAGAATATATAAAAGAAACATAAGAATAATAATTTCAAAATAATAATATTAATAATTATAATTATCCTAATAATAAAATCATAAATAATAATAATAAGGATAACGTTAATAACGATAAAAATAATTATAATCATCATAAAGTAAATAATAAAATAATAATACTAATAATAGAAGATATAGAAAAAGGATAACGATAAAAAAAATAAATGATGATGATGATGATGATGATGATGATGATGATGATGATGATGATAATAATAAAATCTCGATCTGAATTCATCAGTTCAATAATACTTCGAAACCAAATAAATAGTATTGAAATAAAACCGAATGCAGTTTTGATCAAATTAAAGTTGAAGGCAAATGAAAAAAATATTGGATAATTTGAATTGGTAATCCGGATGGACCGAAACCTAATTTGAACAAATATAAAGTTAAAATGAAAAAAAAAAAAAGAGTTTGCGACGACCGTCCAAAGCCAAAAATTTTAATATTCAATTTGACTTCTACAGACCCAGAGGAGTTCTAGGAAGTTTCCTACCCATCACCCAATCTACTACCCACTACCCACAACCCGCAAACATAACCCGAGGTGAGTGAATTCGAGTTTAATTAGGAAGTCTGTTGACATAGGGTTTGAGCTTTGAGTGTTTCATGATTGAATGATGATTGATTCGTGTTCTAAATTGAAATATGAATTTTTGGTGAATTACCAGTAGAAAATCAAGTATGTTTGTGTGAGTTTCGTGAAGAAGAGAGAAATATAATAATAAACCGAAAATACAGGTCAGACCGGACCCCGCGTAGTCTGAACCCAAAATTAATAAATAGGTAAGCCTAAAAACCACAGAACGAACTGAACTGGTCATCCGGACGGATCGGGACCACAGAGGTCAAACCGGAGGTACAATTCGGTAAATTAACTAGAAAGACTCAAAAAAAATATATAAATGATTATAAGGAGAATTAAAAGACTACGCAAGCGGAAATGCATGTATAGTAAATAAACTATATAAATGCGTGTGGTAGGGGTAGTTGGTATGGTGTTAACGTTAATTCGAAAGGGTTTGTATTAATGTTTAGCGTGTGAGTGTAGTAACGGACGTTTGTGATTGATTGCACGATGGTTGCAAGATTGCGTCCTATCTATGTGTCATCCGATCTGGGTCGAATGCCACTCATATGGGATATGATTGTAAATATGGCGATGATATAATCGCCCCAACATCCGAACGATAGGACGGTTATGGACACTCCGATGACTTGCGTAGATAGCCGATTGTAGTCGGTACTATTGCATGACGAGGAAAATACGGTTTTTGGTAATCGCGCCAACGTTCCCGCTAGCGACGGAGCAGATTCCGGGATATGATTATCCCGAGGATGAGGCATTACACATACCTGAGATTCGGATAGATTGGGGTTCTCGAGAAGTTGTACCGACTTACTCTGCCAGGTTCTGGCACGAACTTGACAAGTATTTCCGCGATGGATGGTCGGCGAGGGGAAGTTGCAGCGATGGGCTCTCCCGTTATAGTCGATGGTGTCGGTTGTAGCCGACGTCTGGTGAACGGTATTGAGAGGTGACATCAATGCCGGAGTGAGGTGACACGCCTAGTATCGAGAGGTGACATCGATGCTAGGGTGGGGTGATGTGTTCGGGCAGAGAAAAATATATTTATGCCGGATCCGGGGGATTGCGGAGTAGATGGATTCCGAGGAGAGAGGTGGTTGTGCTATGCACATGGGAAGTATATTACCTACCCATGGTGCGCATAGAGACAATTTGACAGACTCTGTCCTGCGACTTGTCGTACGGTCGTGATTGTGATTGTTGCATGATTATCGTGATTCCATGTTTCGATTCCTGTTTATTAGAGTATTAATATTTATATATATATATATTGCTTTCCCTGATTCCACGAGAATAGAACTACGCGTTACGCCCGAGTTCACTCTCTAAACAATTAGCTTAGGACGTTGTTACGCAACGTTTTAGGTCGTGAGCAGCAGTAGCCGCGAAGCAGACATCGGAGACATGGGTGACCTGACCACGGATCATGTATAATTATTTATTACGATACACTTATATTCGGAGAAACGATTTTGTGTTATATCGGTGGTAGATATTTACGGTTTGTAATAATGTTATACTACCACTCGACTATGTATAATTATCTCTAGAAATAATGTATCATATATGTATGTATGAATATTTTCCTTCCGCTAACTCTGAAAAGAAAAGTTTTAAATTCCCGCGGATTTTTGGAATTGTGTTTTCATTTTAGTTGTCCATGTGACGCAACTCGTAATGAGGGATACGGGTTTCGGGTGTAACATATATATACATATATGAATATTTATACGTTTATATGTATATATTTACGTATATACACATTCAAATTTATATATATATATATATATATATGTGCATAATATATATTTGTAATACAGATACATAATATATACATTTCGATATATATATACTTATTCATATATATATGTGTGTATATATACATTATATTTTTACATATAAAAATATATATACACAAAATATACCTATATGTATACATATATATATATATGTATACATATAAATATAACATACACGTATTTAAATATATATATATATATATATAAATATTTATTAGTATGTATATTTTTTCATTAATTTTTTCAAGTAAAATCCAAATTTCCAACCGATATCCGTTAGAATTCCGTTGGAAATTTCTTTAAAAACAAATTCCAACCGAAATCCCTTGGAATTCCATTGAAAATTTTCAACTGATTTTTTCAACCGACATCCGTTGGAAGTGCCGTTGAAAATTTTCAATTGAATACATTGAAAATTCCGTTAAAAATTTTCAATGGACGTTTCCAATGGATATCCGTCGGAATTTTAATGGAAATCATCGTTGAAACACCGTTGAAAACCGTTGAAAAAATTTCAACGGATAAATCCGTTGGAAAATCCATTGGAAATTGGTGATTTTTTTTTGTAGTGATATAATTTCTCGCGGAAGGTGGTCGTTGAGAAATCGATTGGCAAAAGCAATGGCAATCGCAACACAATTTTTGTTGGAAAATCTACGGGTTCCTAGCATGCGATCATATCGATCTAGGGTTTGGTTTACTAGGTTTCATGCAGCGGAAGAAAGATCTAAACATAGTCAAACGTCATACGTAACCAAACTTGATAAAACCCGAAAAATCGTGTATATCACATAGGGAATCGTTACTTACCTCGTTCTCGATGAAACTTGAAGAAAATATCGATCTGGGGTATGTTCTTAATCACCTAGGACTGAATTACAGTCCCTCTACACATATCCACACCGACGGGAAGGATTCCAAACGATTTGGAACGTATCTGCTAGAATTAGTGAAGAAAAGGGTAACTCGAGAGACCAGATCTAATCCCGAGAAGCTCAAAAACGAAAAGAATGAATTCTCTAGGATTCTTAGATATCTCTCAGAGTTTTAGGGTGGCCTTAATTAAGTTTGGACGAAATCTCAAACTTAAATAAGTTTAGAAAACCCTAAATCCGAATTTTTAGAAAATTTCAGATCCCAGTCCGCCGGACCAAGAGCTTGGTCCGGCAGACCAAGCCTAGTCTGAACTGTCGGACCGCCTTACCTGAAGGCTTGGTCCGGCTGACCAAGTTTTGGTCAGCTCTAGACCAAGTTTTGGTCAGCTCTAGACCAAGTTCCTTCTTCGTCAGCTCAGTCCGACGTGCCAGCTCCTCGGTCCGCCTGACCCAACGTCTGGTCCGGAGCTGACCAACTTTTGGTCAGCCGGACTAGACCTGGACAGATGGCCACGGACCGACTTCCGGACCACCTGGACTGACCAACCTTGGTCCGGGGATGACCAAACTTGGTCAGCTCCGGACCAACACACTGAAAACTCCTTTTTCATGTTCGTTTCGGTCAAATCTCATTTCCATTCTCCGGATGGTGTGTGACCCTATAGACCCATTCTAAGTGGTAGTGACTTCGGGAACCTTTTCCGAACCATAAGTCATGGTTAGCCTCTAGGAAGACGCCATGACCACCCACTTAGAATTGAGTTAGAGGTGATCTAACCAAGGCATTAATTGCTCAAGTTATGATCATTTGTCTCACGTAGAATCATTCTCTAATGATTTAAGGATACTGAAATATAACAAACATGCCAATCATATAACGGAAAGAGTAATGCATTCATAAACCAATGAATCAATACAAAATCAAAATGTCATATCACGGATCATCCTATAGCATTACAACCAACAATTTTAAAAATTCTCTTTTTTTGGATAGGTTGAAAAGCGATATGTACAAGACTCGATAGTGATAAATATACCAACATTTGACAAAAAAAAACACAATTTTAAAAATCAAAATGTTGATGTTTAGATGCATTTCGTTAACGTTTATTGCGTTTAAAAGTAAAAGAGCAAAATACATTTAAAATTAAAAAAGAGAATATCAAAGACAGACACTTCATCGTAGCTTTACAATTCCTTTCTCCCTCTTTCTCTCGTGGACCCACCTAAAAACTCTTATTTAATTAATACTTCCTATTTGATACGTGTGAAGAAAACCAAACAAAAAATTCTTCAGGTTTTGTAAAATAGTATAGAAAATATATTCAACTATTTAGAAAAAAAAATATTTAAATAGTGATATTTTTATATATCAATATATAATGACCTCGACACTCCATATCAATATATTATGATTTGAGTTTTTTTTAGTATTATATTTTAGTAAAAAATATATATAATAAGATTATATAAATTTTAGGTTTAATAACAATTATTTTTCTAATTTTAATCATAATTTTTAAAAAAATTGATTAAAATTATATTTTATTTTTTTTATAAATTTAGTAAATAGTTGTTCATCAAAAGACAGTAAAAATTAACTAAAATTAATTATAAAAAATTATATTAAAATCATATTTTTTTGATAATTTATATCAAACCACAAAATATAATTATATTCAACCATTTATTTTAATCGCTAACAATTACTATGAATAGTAATTTATCAACCGTTTAATGTCAACCATCTATAATCATTATAAAAAACTAGAAGAGACTCGCGCATCGTCTATTTGTTATAAATAATTATTGATTAATTTATACAAAATTATTATATATTATGTAAAGTTAAATTATAGTGTTGGATCATTATATATATATATATATATATAAGAAGTGAATAAATAAAAGAATATAAATACTATTAGAGGGGAGGTAAAAATATTATTAGATATATATATATTGTTGTTAATCTACTGTTAATTTCTTATTATATGTGTTGTTGTTTTTTTGTATTTGTTACACATTATGTATAGTGTAGAATGTATTGTCTTTTATATTCTTAATTTTTGTTTATAAAATAAATTTTAAAATTTACCATCTTAATATCTATTAAAATCGAATTATATGTTTGATACATGTGATGAAAGTAATATAATTCGAAAACACTATTGGAATTATAATTTATGACAATTTAATAAAATATTATTAAATTTTATACCCTTTTACTGAACAAAAATTATAGATTTTTTTTCAATTTTATCAAAAAAATAATTTATACTCAGAGAAAGTCAACTAATACATATACACATATATGTATATGTATATATATACATATATACATATTGACACACATTTATCCATATACATATATACATATACATTTTTCTATACATGATATATGCACAAACACATATATATATATATATATATATATAAGTATAAGCATATGGATGTAGATATGATTGTACAGACATGTCATACATTTGTTATCTTACATTATTATGTAAATAAATTAAAAAATAATAAAATTTTATAGATACATACATATATGCAATATGCATCGATTTGACCATGAAATTTCAAACTTGGACTATCGTGATTCGTGATAAGAATTTTTTTTGTTGATCTGAACTCATGGTTTTGATAGTGCATTGAAGTTGAGTATTTATATATACATTTTAAATTTTGAGTATTTACTTATACTGAAAAATAGATGGTATCAGAAGCATTTTCATTGTATTCATCTTGTGTTTTTTAGATTCTTCGTGACCTGTATTATAAAAGAAATTAAAAAATTATGACAAAACTCACATAAATGTTATAGTAAATTTTAAAAGTGTCTAGTCGGATTCAAAGATGAAATGGGTTGTGAATATTCTCTGGTAACTTTTGATATATACTCTATGGAAGAAAAAAAACTCTAGACTACACACACAACTTTTCTTATCAGACTCAGCGATACTCAAGGAGATAGACAAAGATTTTCCAAATTCCATAGGGTTGAGGACTTTTTTCAATACACGTATTCCTCTCTAAACTATAAAAATTAGAAAAGGAAAAAAAGATTCCAAGACTCTAAACAGTGATTACTATAAGCACAAGAAACAAAATAAGGCTATAACTGTAACAATTCTTTTAATATTTGTTTTTTGGTGGTCTTTCCATTGAAACATTGTATTACCTCAAACACGTCAAGAACAAAGTGGAACATAGGATTTTTATTTAAGGTGTTGGGTCAGCGTTGCTTCATCGGTCATTGACTTTTTTTCTGTAGTTAAAAAATATTGCTTCTTGTGAAATATAACCAAACTCATGAGAAAAACAAATTAAAAAAAAAACATAAAAACTTTTGATTAGGTTGAAAACATCTATCCATTTTTTTTGGTGTTATATAGTAGAAATAATAATATAATAAATTATTAATCAATACTCAGTCACAGTATGTAATTTGGGTTAGTGGATTAATGAAAAGATTTTCAAAATTTTTGTTTTAATTATTTATTTTACTAAATATTCTAATGAAAACACTTTACTACCCACTAATAAAAAAATAGTGGACTTTAAATTGTAAACATATAAAACGATAATGTTATAATAATCATTATCAATTGATATTATTTTCATAAAATTATTTTATTATCGCGGGTTATTTTTTATTTTATATATTAATTATACTTTTCTGAACTTTACATATATAGATATCTATTTTGTGTATGAATATGTATACATATGTGTGTATATATATATATATATTTATTTTTCCAACAAAGTCGTCTCAATGATTTTAGGAATACGTACATATAAAATTTAATTAT